GGCAACTGATAATGTTTCTCTCACATCTATGTTTCTCTCTCTCTTTCTCTCTCAGTCAGTGAAAGCATATCCTTGAATGAGGATTAACAAAATAAATTATAAGCTATATTACTATAATGTATTCATGTTTGCCATTTGTCCCAATAACATGCTTTGTGGAAAAAAGACCCAATCCGGTATGATGCATTGCATTCAGTTTCCATACTTCTTTCGTCCCTTTTAATGTGGAATGGCTCCTCAATCTTTCCTTTGATCGTGGCTTTGTAAATTTTGAAGATTCTAAGCAAGTGATTTTGTAGGCGCACCCCCCCCCCCCCGTTTTAGTTTGTCTGATGTTGCCTCATTATTAGATTTAAGCTATGTATCTTGGAGAGAAAAGTCACAGAAGTGCTGCTGTGTTCTCACTGGATCATACCAGGTGATGCATGATTTCAATTTGTCCCGTTACTGAATACATTAACATTGAGATATATATATATATATATATATATATATATATATATTTTATTGATTTTTTACAGAGAGGAAGGGAGAGGAATAGAGAGTTAGAAACATCGATGAGAGAGAAACATCGATCAGCCGCCTCCTGCACACCTCCCACTGGGGATGTGCCCACAACCAAGGTACATGCCCTTGACCGGAATCGAACCTGGGACCCTTCAGTCCGCAGGCCGACGCTCTATCCACTGAGCCAAACCAGCCAGGGCAACATTGATATTTTTATTGATATGGTGTCTACCAGACTTGCAATACCCTTTTGGTGCACCTATATGGGCACCTCTGTTGTTGATGTGCTTTAGCAGATATTGCCAGAGTTTTTTCCAAAGTGGTTGTACAGATTTGCTCTCCACCCAACAGTATAAAAATTCCAGTGGCCACATCCTTGTCAACACTATTGCTGGTTTTTAAAATTTTAGTCATTCTGAATGTGTAGTGGTGGTATTTCATTGTGGTCTTAATTTGCATTTCTCTGATAACCATGTTGCACAGTGTTTCATGTATTTATTAGCTGTTTATCTATCTTCTTTTATGAAAAAAATACTACCTTTTGCCCATTTAAAATATTGTTCTGTCTTTTTCTGTTATTTTGTAGGATAATCTTAGTACATGCTCTACGAGTCATTTGCCATTGGTAATATCTTTCACTCTGTGGCTTGCCTTTTCACTTACTGATGTCTTTTGATTTTACTGAAATAAAACGTTTCTTTCGATTAGCTGTGTATGCTGTTCAGGGATTCTTTGCCTAATTCTAAAAGAATGGATTTTTTTTCTTTTACTACCCTTCATCATTTTCTTCTAGAAGATTTTTTTCCCCTTGTACTGTCCACATTTGGCTTTAGAGGTCATTTAAAGTTTTACCAAAGGTGTATATGTACACGGTTTAAGAGGCAAAACTTTACAAGATATGTAAGGAGAAACATATGTAAGGCAGTCCTATAGCCCTTCCTACTTATTTCCTGCTCCCCAGAGACAGTGATTTTCAACTCAATCAGCTGACTTTTTAAAGAGAAATTCTCTATATCTCTAAATAACAACCTTTTGTTGCCAATTCTTAATTTTTCAGTTTTGGGGATTCTCTTTTGCCTTCCGAGTATGGAAGATAAGGAGTTCACTCTTTTTAACTCCTCACCTCCACCACACTCAGTCGCACTTCCACTCTCATCACCTTCCCAAGGTGGTTACATGTCGCTGTGGTTGGGCCAATAGTCAGCGTTTACCCAGCACACCTGGGCCCTTGTTATTCGTGTCTGAGCTGAGTGGGGCACTAGGGTCACTCTTGGTCTTTGTTCTCCTGGAGTTTGCATTTCTCTTGCTTTGCTGAGGTTCATTTGTTTTCCCTTGTAATGAGCACTGCTTCAAGCCCAGTGTTCCCGTTCCGACACATTTGGTATTCCGTCAGTTTCCTCCTCTTGAAGCGGTCCCCTCTGCAGACTTCGTGGGTTTTTTAAAATCCTCACCCGAGGATATTTTTCCATTGATTTTTAGAGAGAGTGGAAGAGAGAGGGAAAGACAGAGAGAAATATTGATGTGAGAGAAACACACCAATTGGTTGCCTCCTGCATAAGCCAACCAGGGCCAGGGCTGAGGAGGAGCCTGCAACCGAGGTACACCCCTGACCAGAATCGCACCTGGGACCCTTCAGTCCCCAGGCCGATGCTCTATCCACTGAGCCAAACCGGCTAGGGCTGTTCTGCAGACTTTTGATCCACCACAATCCCTTTGCTCTCCAGCCCCCAGGAACAGCTCTCCTGCTGGAGTCTCCTTCCACCACCCTCCTTCGGGTTCCTCTTACCTCTCTCCTACACCTGAACCCCTCGTTTCCTGAATCTGTGTCTTCCTCTTTCTCATTCTCTCATTTTTGAGGAACACACCCTCCCACAGGTTCTGGAGAAGGTGTGCAAAGGGGATATAATTTCTGAAACTTTGAACATGTGAAAAGGTCTTTAGTCTACTCTTATACTTAACTGATAATTTTACTGGTTTTAGAATTCTAGGTGACAAATAATTTTTCTTCAGAATTTCGAAGACATATTTGTATTGTTCTTCGCGTTTGGATTAATGATCCACCCAGGACTAATTTTTCTGGGTAGTGTGAGTCAAAGTTCATTCCCCTCCTGCCCACAAGGATATTACTATTTAATCCTCTGTGAGGATTAAAAAAATTTTTTAAAGCCTTCTTTTCCTCTCAGTAACATTCTGTAGTTTTCTATGTGGAACATAAACACATTCTGTCAGATTTATTCCTAAGTATTTTAATTTAAAAAATACTATTATTGATGAAATATTTTTATTTTCTAATTGCTTATTGTCATCTTAAAGAGATACAATGGAATTTATTTAATCTTATACCATATCTGTAGATTTTTAAAAATTTTCCAACTTACATAGTGATACCACTGATGAATAACCATTGTTTTTTGTGTTGTTTTTTTTTCCTTTTCAAGTCTTACCTCTTTTTATTTTTTCTTGCCTTATTGCACTGGCGAGGACCTCCCATACAATATTACATAGAAGTGGTGGTGGTGGACATCCTCATTTGTTCCAGTCTCAAGGGGATAACTTTCAATACTTTACCATTAAGTGCGATATTTGCTGTAGCTGTTTGTGTGTGATATTACCGAGTTAAGAAAATTTCCTTTTACTTGTAGTTTGCCAAGAATTTTATCATGAATAAATGTTGAATTTTTATCAAATGCTTCTTTCACATCTATTGCTATCCTGTATACTTTCAATCTGGGGGATTACACAACTGGTTTTCACATGTGGAGCCAAACTCACATTCCTGGAACAAACTCAAATTTGTCAAGAGGCATTATATACCGCTGGATTTGATTGCTCTTTTGTTTAGAATGTATATCTATGATTTTTTCAGAAATTATTCTGTAATTATCCTTTCTTGTAATGTCTTGCTTTGGTTTTAATATCGAGGTTATGCTGCCCTCCTCCAAAAAGTTGGGAAGTGTTCTCTTCTCTATGAGAGTTTATGTAAAACTGGGGTTGTTTCTTCCTTTGATGTTCAGAAGAACTCACTGGTGAACGACCTGGACTTGAAATGCTCTTTGTGGGAAGATGTTTAATTACAAATTTTTCTAATCGATACGAGACTATTCTCTATATTGTCTTCTGTGAGATTGCTAAGTTGTGTTTTTCAAAGAATTTACAAGTTTCATCAAAATTTTCAAATTTATTGGCATAGAGCAGGGATTTTCAATCTTTTTCATCTCATGTCGCACATAGTTAACCACTAAAGTTCTGTGGCACGCCAAAAATATACTTTTTGCCGATCTGACAAAAAATAGGTATACCAGATGGCTGCTGTTGTGTTGGCTACTGTCATTTTTTCAATTTGACAATCTAAGGGAGAAGAGGTTAGTGCCCCTGAGTCGTCAGGTACTGCAGGTTTTAAAAATTCTTACGGCACACTGGTTGAAAATTGCTGGCATAGAGTCATGATAATATTCTCATAATATCTTAATTGTCTGTAGGATAGTGACGACCTCCTTTTTGTTCCGGGTGTTGGCAGTTGGTGCCTTTTCTTTCCTTCCTGATCATTCTATTTTATTGGGTTTGTTTTGCTACGATGTTTATTTTGCTACCCTCTGTGATTTTTAGCTTTTCTTCTTTTCTAACGCATGTACATATGTTTATGAGTTTCTCCCTAAGCACTGCTTTAGCTACATCCCAACGTTTTAATAATATTTCAGCATCATCCATTCAAAAGTATTTTTGATATCCAGCAAGAGTTCTTCTTCAAACAATGAACTCTTTGGAAGTGCATTGCTTAATGTGGAAACATTAAAAAAAAAAAGTCAAGTTATCCTTTGTTACTGGTTGCTAGCCTGATTATATGGTTGTCAGAGACCATACTCTGTATGATTTTCATTCTTTGACCTTTCTCAAGACTTGCTTTATGATCCAGTCTAAGGTCAATTTTGGAAATTGTTCTATGCACATGAAAAGAATGTGTGCTCTGAAGTCGATGGCTGTGTGTTGGTCATACTGGTTTAACTTCTCTAGATGCTTACTGGGTTTTGTCTCCTTTTCTATCAATTGCTGAGAAAGAAACTTCCCCTCTGTTCCTAGTTTTCTAAGAGTATTGCTCATAAACAGGTGCTGGGTTTTGTCAAGTGCTCTTTCTGTATCTACTGATATGATCATGTGATTTTTATTCTTCAGCCTGTTGATGTGATGGGTTACATGAACTGACTTACGAATGTTGAACCAGCCTTGCATAACTGGGATACATCCCACTTGGTCGTGGTGTATACTTCTTTATTTTTATTTTTCCATGTGTGCAAAGCACAGGTGTTAAAAACAACGTAACAAAAATAGAAGAGAGGCCAGTAGCCTCAGTGGGACAGTGCTGAAGCAGAGCCCCATACTCAGACCTGCAGAGAGAGGTCTAGGGTTGGCAGGCAGGGAGGTTGGGCCTCGGGTGGAAGCCCTCTGGCCGAGAGTGGGGATCTTGAGGGGCTGGGGGCGGGCTGGAGGGAGCCTGGTCAAGATGAGGCTGTGAGCTCAGCTGAGTCTCACAGGTAGGACTGCAGGTAATCAGCAAAGAGGGCCTTGGCCCGGTGTAGGACACGCCCCAGCGGGTGCTTCCCCACAAGGCGGTCAAAGTGCATGGCCACCTCGTGGTAATCCAGCCCGTTCCTCATGATTTGACCCCGGTGCTCTAACAGGATGGCGAGGCAGAGAAAGAGCATGAACGGGTTCCCCTGGCCAAGCTCCTGGGGTGGTGGCAGGGACTTCCCAGGGTCTTGTGGGGAGCCCACTTCTGGCATCAAAAGGGATCCTGCAGCCACGGCACCAGCAGGAGAGGCCTCCAGGGAGGACCGCTGAGACGAGGAGGATGGGGAGCCAGGGAGGGAAGGGGAGCAGAGGAGTGCGTCTGAGGAGTTCAGCAAGGGCTTGGAGAGGGACTTGGAGCTGATGAGGACAGTGGGATGGAAAAGCTGGGCGAGAGGGTCCCTCCTGGGGCGGCTGCTGTCCCTGAGTTGCTGGAGGTCATCCAGACTGGCTGGTCCCGGGAGCTGCCCCCCACCACCAGGCTCCTGGCTGGTCAGGGCCAAGGGGTCAACAGCCTCTTCAAAAGCACCGCCTCTCCCACCGGCAGGCCTGGGCCTGTGCCCCTGTCGCAGGGGCTGCTCCCCGCAGCTCCTGGAGCCAGTGTCGGCCCCGTGGCTGGGGGACCCGACGAGTTCGACCTCCCGTTCGGGAGGATCTGGAGGCAGCGAGCTCCAGGTGACCTCGAGCATGCGCAGGGCATCCTCAAAGGCGAACTCCCGCTTGAGCTCGAGCAGCAGCCAGCGGTAGCAGAAGAGGAGGTTGTGGGCCCCCGCCTCCCGCAGGTACCGGTAGAAGTCGGGGTCCACGTGCCGCAGCAGCAGCTGGAGGTGGGCGAACTTGACGGCCATGGCCCAGCCGTCCGTCCGGGTGGAAGTTGGGGGCCAGGCGCCGCATGATGGCGCAGAAGCAGAGGAAGGCCTGGCCTTCGTGGTCCAGCGCCGCCAGGAGGGGCGAGGCCAGGTCGCTCATGCCCTGGCGGTAGGACACCTGCGGGTGGGTGACGGCGTAGGTGGTGAGCAGGTCGTGCAGGGCTCGCAGGTGCGGGCCGTCCTCGGGCCCCGCGTAGTAGGGGTGCGCCCGGTCGGTGCGCCGCACGTCCCGGAGGACGGCGCCGCGGATGCGCTCCAGGTCCTCGGGGCTGGCGCGCTGCGCCCACTCGCTCTTGAGCCGCTCGTACTCCCGGCTCTTGCTGCTCACGTAGGCGGCCCGCTGGCGGGCGGTCAGGCGGGCCGGCAGCACGTTCAGCAGGTGCTGCCACACCACCCCGCGCAGGGAGGGCGCCACCCCGCCCTGGTAGATGCGCAGGCGCAGCTGCGCCGGGCGCGAGAGCCGGCCGTCGGGGTGCAGGTACGCGTGGAACTCGGCCTCGCTCAGCGGGGGGCAGAAGGGCTTGGCCTCCTTCCCGGGGGACCAGCTCAGCACCTGCTGGACCCTGGACCAGGTGCGGCCCACCTGGGCGAGGAGGCCCTGCGTGAAGGGCAGGGCAGCCGCCGCCGGGGGCGCCCGTTGCTCCGGCAGCGGCACGTCGGGGCCGGCGGCCTCCTGGGGGCCGAAGAGGTCCCCGTCTTCCAGCAGCGGGCGGGCCTCCGCCGGCCACAGGTCCAGCCGCAGCTGCAGGAAAGGTTTGGAGGCCGCGGCGAAGGCCGTGCTGAGGTCCCGGTCCGACCGGAGCGGGAGGTAGACCTCCTGCCCCAGCCCATCCCGGCCCCGGTAGCGGAGGTCAAAGTGCTTCCCGCTCAGGTCAAACGCTCGGGCGAGGATGTGCTGCAGCACCTCGAGGGGGGTGATCTGGGGGTCAACCGCGAAAGAGCGGCGCTCGGGTGGCAAGAAGCCCGCACATTTCTGGACTCGGACTCGTACCACCTCCTGCTCCTCCTCCTCCTCCTCCTCGGCCCCGGCCGCTTGGACTCCCGGGCCAGGCGGGGATGCTCCGGAGCCGGCCAAGGCTGAGGACCCACAGGCCGAAGCCATCCCGGTGGCAACACGCCTTGGAGGGACGGTGACGGTTGCCCCGCTACTTGCGTGCGATTCCAGAGAGCAGCACCCGCAGCCCCACCCCAGGCCCAGGCGCAGGCGCAGAGGGCGTGCGGGACCCTAGCAACCCCCCCACCCCCCACCCCTCCCACCCCGCACAGAGTGGAGGTCGCCTCTGTACCTACAATTCTCTTTATACATTGTTGGGTTTGATTTGCTAATATTTTGTTGAGAATTTTTGCATGTATGTACATGAGAGATATTGGTCTACAGCAGTGGTTCTCAACCTTCTGGCCCTTTAAACACAGCTCCTCATGTTGTGACCCAACCATAAAATTATTTTCGTTGCTACTTCAGAACTGTAATGTTGCTACTGTTATGAATCGTCATGTAAATATCTGATATGCGGGATGGTCTTAGGCGACCCCTGTGAAAGGGTCGTTCCACCGCCAAGGGGGTCGCGACCCACAGGTTGAGAACCGCTGGCTACAGTTTCCTTGACTGTCTGGTTTTGCCGGGGTCCAACCCCAGCAGGTCCAGGGGTCCCCAAAGGTGTGGATGGAGTCGGCGAAGAAGGAATGACACGGAGACGGAGTTCAGTTGATCAGCAGCCTAGCCAGGATCTCTAGCCAGGATCTCCAGCCAAGTTCTGGTCTGGATCTCCAGCGAAGTTCTGCTGTTTATTGTTTTGTTACATCCGTATTTATACCAGTTGATTTTAATCCTGTCAATTTCTATTACAAAGGTTAGGGCGTTTCTTATCTCCATTCCAGGGAGTAAAGATTATGTAGCTTAAGCATGATTGTTTGTAGTGATTAACTACCCGCCTGGCACTTAGTTAAGGAGTTTCATCCCCTCCCTGACTTCAGGGAAAAATTCCTACCTGGGGAAACAACCTTTCTAGGAGAGGCATCCCCTCCCTGACTTCAGGGAAAAATTCCTACCTGGGGAAACAACCTTTCTAGGAGAGGCATCCCCTCCCTGACTTCAGGGAAAAATTCCTACCTGGGGAAACAACCTTTCTTGGAGAGGTGACCTTGGTTAAAACACACAGCGCTAAGGGGAGCAAACATAAGAACAGTATGCTATATACGCCAGGTCCCTTGAAACATATGCTTCGCAGATGTTTCTTTCCTGCAGCGACTGTGTCAAGCAGCAAGGATGGACCGGCTTCCGGCATGGTTTTGCTGTTCGGGTAATGTTGGCCTCATAGAATGAGACAGAAAGTATTCCCTCTGCTTCTATCGTCTGGAAGAGGTTGATTGCCTAGAATGGGTATAATTTCTTCAATTCCTGGTTCAGTTCGCCAGTAGGTGCTTTCTGGTTGGGAAGGTTACAAATTATCAATCCAATCCCTTTAATAGGTATAGGCCTATACAAATAGTCTATTTTTCCTTGTGGGAGTTTTGGCAGATGGTGCTTTCAAGGAATCGGTCCATTTCAGGTAGGTGACCAAGTTTGTGGGCATAGAGTTATTCATCATTTTCCTTTATTATCCTCTTAATGTACATGAGATTTGTAGCGATGCCCCCCTTTCATTTATGCTAGTAATTTGTATCTTCTCTTTTTTCTTTTTCTTAGTCTAGCTAAAAGCTTATTGCTTGATCTTTTCGAAGAATCAGCTTTGGGTTTTATTGAATTTCTTTATTGATTGTATATTTTCAATTTTATTGATTTCTTTTTAAAAAATTTTTATTGAATTGATTGGGGGACATTGGTTAATAAAATGATATAGGTTTCAAGTGTACAATTCTATAATACATCATTTGTATATTGCATGCTGGAAAACAGGAAAACCAGTGGTATAATTCAATTCAAGTCTAAGAACCAGGGGAGCCAATGGTATAACTCCCAGTCCAAGGCCAAAGTCCTAAGAACTGGGGGGTGGGGTGGGTGGGGGGCACTGGTGCAAGTTCTGAAATCCAGAGGCCCAAGGACCAGGAGCTCCAAGGTCCAAGGGCAAGAGAAGATGGATATCCCAGCTCAAGAGGAAACAGGTGGAATTTGCCCTTCCTTCTCCCTTTTTGTTTTCTTCTGGCCCTTAACAGATTGGACAATACCTGCCTATCTTGGTTGAGGGCAAATATTCTGTACTCAGTCTACTGAATCCAATACTCATCTCTTCCACAATAATGGTTTACCAGCTCTCTGGGGCATCCCCTATCCTGGTCAAGTTGACACGTCAAAAAATTAGCGATCACAGCATATTAATCACAGTTGTTTCAAATTCTGGGCCTGATCATTTCAGCACCCCTGCCATATCTGAGTCTGGTTCTGATGCTTGCTCTGTCTCTTCAAACCGTGTTTCCTGCCTTTTAGTATGTCTTGGAATTTGTTTCTTGATAGCCACACAAGATATACTTGGTAAAAGGACCTGCTGCACATAGGCCTGTAGTAGTGTGGTGGTAGGTGGGGGGAGGGGAAGCCTTCTATAGTCCTAGGATTAGGTCTCAGTCTTTTGATGAGCCTTTGCCTCTGGACTGTGAACTTCACAAGTATCCATTTTCCATCATTTCTGCAGAAATATTATATGTCATTCTTATGTCTTAAAGATAGCATATATTGCCCTAGCTGGTTTGGCTCAGTGGATAGAGCATTAGCCTGTAGACTGAAGGGTCCCAAGTTTGATTCTGGTCAAGGGCACATGCCCAGGTTGCAGGCTTGATCCCCAGTCGGGGATGTGCAGGAGGCAGCTGATCAGTGATTCTCTCTCATCAGTGATGTTTCTATCTCTCTTTCCCTCTCCCTTCCTCTCTGAAATCAATAAAGCTATATTAAAAAAAAATAGCATATAGTTGGGTCTTGTCTTTTTAAAAGTCCAGTCTGATAATCTCTTTCTTTGAGTATATAGATCATTTACATTAGATGTAATTATCAGTATGGTTGGATTTAAATACTATCTTTCTATTTGTTTTCCATTAGTCCCGTGTGTTTTTATTTCTTTTTATCTGCCTTCTTTTGAATTAACTGACTGTTTAAAAATATTACTTTTATATCTATTAATGTCCAATATCTATACTTCTTTTAAATATTTTTAGTGGTTGCTTTAGGGCAAGGGTCAGCCTATGTGAAGACAGCACAGACTTTCCATATATCCTGGGCTCAGTTTTCCTATTATTAACATCTTACATGATAATGGTTCATTGGTCACAATTAATTAACCGGTAAGACATATTATTCTCAACTAAAGTCCATACTTTATTCAGATTTCCTTAGCTTTTTAAAAATTGTGAGAAAAGACACATAACATAAAATTACTCTTAACCATTTTTAAGTGTTCCGTTTGCTAGTGGTAAATACATTCCCATCGTTGCGCAACCAATATACAGATTTTCATCTTGCAAAACTGAAACTTTATATCCATTAAACAACTCCCCATTTCTGCCCCCCTGCACCCCTACCCCCCGCCAGGCTCTCATAACCACCACTCTACTTTCTGTTTCTAAGGACGTGACTACTTTACTCCATCTGTGTGGAATCACACAGTACTTATGTGCCTTTTATGACTGGTTTATTTCACTTAGCATACTGTCCTCAAGGTCCATTTGTATTGTAGCACGTGTCAACATGTTCTTCCTTTTTAAGGACAAATGATATCCCGTTGTATGTGTGCACCATATTTAGTTTATCCATTTACCCGTCAGTGGACACCTGGGAGATTTCCTTTGTTTTTACCGAGTGTTCTTTTTCTGTTCCAGGATCCCACCCAGGATCCCATCCAGGATCCCAACCAGGATCCCATCCAGGATCCCATCCAGGGCCCCATCCAGGGTCCCATCCAGGGTCCCATCCAGGGTCCCATCCAGGATCCCATCCAGGATCCCATCCAGGGTCCCATCCAGGGTCCCATCAGGGTCCCATCCAGGGTCCCATCCAGGATCCCACCCAGGGTCCCATCCAGGATCCCATCCAGGGTCCCATCCAGGGTCCCATCCAGGGTCCCATCAGGGTCCCATCCAGGGTCCCACCCAGGGTCCCATCCAGGGTCCCACCCAGGGTCCCATCCAGGGTCCCATCAGGGTCCCATCAGGGTCCCATCCAGGGTCCCATCAGGGTCCCATCCAGGGTCCCATCAGGGTCCCATCCAGGGTCCCATCCAGGATCCCATTCAGGGTCCCACCCAGGGTCCCATCCAGGGTCCCACCCAGGGTCCCATCCAGGGTCCCATCAGGGTCCCATCAGGGTCCCACCCAGGGTCCCATCCAGGGTCCCATCAGGGTCCCATCAGGGTCCCATCCAGGGTCCCACCCAGGGTCCCATCAGGGTCCCATCCAGGGTCCCACCCAGGGTCCCATCCAGGATCCCACCCAGGGTCCCATCCAGGGTCCCATCCAGGGTCCCACCCAGGGTCCCATCCAGGATCCCACCCAGGGTCCCATCCAGGGTCCCATCAGGGTCCCATCCAGGGTCCCATCCAGGGTCCCACCCAGGGTCCCATCAGGGTCCCATCAGGGTCCCATCCAGGGTCCCATCCAGGGTCCCATCAGGGTCCCATCCAGGGTCCCATCCAGGGTCCCATCAGGGCCCCATGCAGGATGCCACATTATATGTGGTCATCATGTGTCCTCAGGCTCCTCTGAGCTACGACCGTTTCTCAGACTCAGGGCTCATTCTAATGTTCCGCCTTTCCATATTTATAACATCCTTTGCCAACAGTAAGAAACCTAGTTCATTCCCTCAACAAATTTACGTATTGGGACCATCCCACTGTGGGTAACCGATGCCCCATTGCCACTGCTCCCTGCCTCATGCTGCCCCCGCCACCTCCTCCCCTACATGGATGTGCTCCTCACCTCAACAGACTCTGACATCTCACACCTTCTGGGTGCCCCGCCACAGCCCTTTAGAGGTGCCCTGCTCATCCTTCATGGACTCCATCTCCTGGTGCTTGGCCACTGCCCTGGTCACACGTCCCCTTCACTCTCAGGGTCCGAGCTCCTGTTCTGGGCTGTTCTCCTACTTGGATGCCCTCCCTTCTCTGCTTGAGCACCAACATT